CATTTATTGAGCTGCTTCTGCATGCTCCGCCTAGTAATACAGAAAATAAGAGCCAGGAATGCCTTCAGTGCTTTCATAGTACAGATAAGTGAATATCTTCGGAGAAGGGAGGGTATTTGCCTCAAGTCACTCCACTAGTAACCTGCATAGCAACAGCTACTATTTGGGTGTGTCTCCTGGGGGACCATGCAAGGACCATGCGACGTGCCTTACCTGGGTCATGCCACATGGAATCCTCACAATCCTGTTCATTCATTCTTTCAACGAATATACATACTGAACATCTACCATGTGCCAGGCCCTGGGCTCGGTGCTAAGAATACAATAATGAGCAAAATGCATCTGGTCCCTGCCCATTGATTCCACTGGACTTAGCAATAAAGACAGAGGACATAAATCACAGTGCATCCCTTGAGGCAGTATATGATCTTCAATTTCTGGATGTAGAAAATGAGGCTAGATAATTTACACCGTCATCTAGGGAGAAAGTAGCCAATTCAGGACTAGAATCCATGTCCTCAGACTCCATATCCTTGGTTCTTTTTCACTCTAAAGGTTAGGCAAATGTGGGTGGGATCAACTTAGAGGCCCTTGAACGTCAAGCTAAGAAATTTGGTCTAAATTATATGGTTATGAGCAGCCAAGGAAGGAAGGAAAGCGGAAGAGTGAAAGTAACCCAAGGACAGGCACAAGATGGGTGTGGATGGTTATGCCAGAAGACTACTGTAATAGTCCCAGCAAAAGGTAGCGAGGCTCTGATCCCAGGAAGGGACAATGGGGATGGGAATGGGGGGTGGGGGGGGATTTCCACCCACTGACACCTTCTAGGTTTCTGTCTGCCTGCATTCTCCCATGTTAAATAAAGAAAAGGAACCACCATTATTAAATTTCTACTAAGTGCTAGGCAATGTCCTGAGGAATTTTGTGTACATTATCTTGTTAAATCCTCCCCATAGGGACGCCCCCCGGGTGGGTCGGTCGTTAAGTGTCTGCCTTTGGCTCAGGTCATGATCCCAGGGTCCTGGGATTGAGCCCTACATTGGGCTCCCTGCTCCACGGGAAGCCTGCTTCTCCCTCTCCCACTTCCCCCTGCTTATGTTCCCTCTCTCGCTGTGTCTCTCTCTGTCAAATAAAATCTTTTTAAAAAAAGGAATAAATCCTCCCCATAACCCCATAAGAAACCAGTAGGTATCTTTATTATTCTCATTTTAGAAAAAGGAAACAGAGACTTTAAGAGGTTAAACAACTTGCTGATGCCCACAAAGCAAACATGTGTTGGGGCTTGGGTTAAAGCCCAGGCCTGGTTCCAAAGCTCATGCTGTAACCATTGCTCTCTACTGTCTGAAGCCAAGGCAAAGAACCAAAGTCCTTTGATTCAGCCAAGGGTTCTTCACTGTGGACCACAGGTACCTTTTAGATTTCCAGAGAAGGGTCAGGGGTCCACAAATGTAACCTAAAGTGTAGCTGGGGAGATAGCGCAGGTCCCTGTATGGGACGTCTCTCCCCAGGAGCCTGCAGAAGCCTCAGCCCAGGAGAATTCGGCAGCCCGGTTAGAAAGTTCCTGTGGCGGGGCTCCTGGATGGCTCAGTTGTTAAGTGTCTGCCTTCGGCTCAGGTCATGATCCCAGGTCTTGGGATCAAGCCCCACATTGGGCTCCCTGCTCAGCGGGAAGCCTGCTTCTCCCTCTCCCACTCCCCCTGCTTGTGTTCCCTCTGTCGCTGTGTCTCTCTCTGTCAAATAAATAAATAAAATCTTAAAAAAAAAAAAAAAAAGTTCCTGTGGGAATGCACTGAGAAACCGTGAGGCAGAAGCAGAAGTGCAAAAACCCTTCTCCAGTGAGAGGGCAACATGGATATCAAGGGGAAGACATAGCAAGAGTGCCGGTGGCTGGGTATGAAACTGAGTGTCTGCAGGACTGGGACCTGTGGCCTGGCGCTCTGGAGACAGGAACAGCTGCGGAGAGCTCCTGGGGCAGGGCTGTCTCATCACCTAAGAAGCCTGCAGTCCCAGCCTCTCTGACTGGAGAGCATCGGAAGGTTTGCCTCTTCTCAACCTCACTGTCCTTCCCAAATCTGACCACCAATCCTGTTCTGAATTATTCATGCTGTGGGCTGTGAGAAGGTGGAGCTTCCAGAGGCTTCGGGACTTAGGACCTAGGACATTCAGCTATGTCTCCCTGGGGCTCTAGCTTCAGCCGTGCTGCCCTGGGATTGAGCTGCTGGTAAGATTTGCCAAGCTTTTTTCAGCAGGCAGCTGGCCAGTAACCTCGGGCTCCCGGGCTTCGATTCATTTCAGCCGATCTTTTGTTGAGGAATACTATGTGCCGGGGACAGTTCTGCGTCCTGTCGGGAACACGGAAGTGAACCTGATCAGATCTCTGTCCTTGAGGATTTGTGGCATGGCTCAGGGGGCAGACATTTAAAAATTATTCCCTTCTACCATGTCCTCTGGGTCTGGTAAATGTTCCCCACTACTGTCCCCCATTTCACCAACTGAAGGCCTCTGCTAATTCCCTCCAGAAGTTAGTGGCCTTGGAACTAGGGAACCTCACACCCCAAACACCTGGGCAGGGTTCTCTCCTTGGAGGGGCACCAAAACAACTTCTTAACCTAGGACTATTTGGAGTCCTGAACTTGGCCCCAGACTGTAGCTTGGGCCCCTAGGTTTCCAGCCACATCAGGAAAATGACACTCACTCTCAAATCCATCCATTCAGCAAACACTAATTAAGCATGGAATCAGTGCCAAGCACCCAGCTTTGTGTTGTGCAGCTGGTTCAAAACCAAACCACACAGGCATGGCCCCTGTTCTCATGCTGCTCAGTCTCAGTGGGGAGACAGACAAGCAAAATGGCAATTATTCTTCAACGATGGTGTGGAGATGGTGGGGAAGTACAGGGCACCCTGGGAGGGAACACAGAACAGGGACTCTTCCTAGAAGCTTGCGGCTAGATAATTTTACCAGGACTTTCATCCTTGTCTTTCTAGATCTTTGCTTAAATGGAAACTCTTCCAGTCACCTATCTACATCTTCCATACTGGCTTGTCCTTTCACTTTATCCTCTTTTCTAACCTATTCCTCTGGACGCTTTGGCATCAGACAGGTGTCCAATGGAAGGTGGAGGTAAACATGAACCTGAGTAGAGGCTGGAGCCCTGTGAAGTAATGCTATCCAGAGGCAAGAGCACAGGATCCCCAAACAAGGAGGGACTTTAAGATTTCTAAGCTCTGCCTAGAACATTTCCCGCCCACCTTTCACTAACTGTTTCCTCACATCCAGACACTGATGACGTCCAGATTTGTATCCCATCTGTATCTCATCCCAACTCCAGATTCAGATCCAACTGCTTCCTTGACATCCCCATCCCCACTCAGATATCTGATAGGCATCTCAAACTCACAATGTCCACATAGCTCTCTTGATATCTGCCCCCACCACCCACAAAACTGTTCCTCCCCATCTCTGCCATCTCAGAAAAAAGGGCCCCCACTACCTACCCACGTACTCAAGTCAAAGATCTAGTATTTACACTTGATTTTTCTTTCTCTCATTCTCTTCCACATCAGCAAGGGCTGACAAACTACCTCTATAATGTATCCTGAACTCATCCACTTCTTCTGTCTTTCTATGACCACCTTAATCCATCATTCTCCTGGACAGCTGCACTAGCCTTCTGAATGGTCTTCCTGTTTCCACTCTTGCTCTCACCCACTTCAATCCATGAAGCAACTAGATTGAACCTTTTTAAACATAAATCACGGGGTGCCTGGGTGGCTCAGTCAGTTAAGTGTCTACTTTCGGCTCAGGTCATAATCCCAGGATCTTGGGTTTGAGCCCCGCATCGGGCTCCCTGTTTAGCAGGAATCCTGCTTCTCCCTTTCCCACTCCCCCTGCTTGTGTTCCTCTCTCGCTGTCTATCTCTCTCTCTCAAAAAATAAATAAAATCTTAAAAAAACCATAAATCACGTCATATCAGCCCACACACAGTTCCAACTAGTACTTAGAATAAAATATAAACTCCTTATAATGGTCCATAATGATCTGGCCCCTGCTTAGACCTAAACTCGAGACCCCTTGCTCACTGGATTCCAACACATCAGACCTTCTGTTTCTCTCATAAGCTAATCTCATTCCCATCTCAGGGCTTTGCAAAGCTGTTTTAGCTGCCTGATAGTCTCTTCTCTAAAATCTTACATAATTGGGGAACCTGGCTGGCTCAGGGGGTAGAGCACGGGACTCTTGATCTTGGGGTCATGAGTTCAAGCCCCATGTTGGGCATGGAGCCTACTTAAAATTTAAAAAAAAAATTAAAATGTTGTATAATTGGTGCCCTTTTCACTATCCAGGACTCAGTTTAAAATTCACCTCTTAAAAAAGGCCTTTTTTGACCACTCATCTAAAGTAACCACCTCTGTTAAACATCTTTATTTTCTTTGTAACAGTTATCACTTTGTCATTATCTTGCTTATTTACTTGTTTCTTTTCTGTCTCCCCCACCAGGATGCTCCAGGAGAGTGAGGACACTGTGCTGTTCACTGCTGTATCCCTACAGTGCCTGGCACACAGTAGGCTTGCACAGACACTTGTTGAATGAATGAGCTCGAATGAGTGAATCAATGAAGTGGGAACAGCAGAGGAAGAGAACAGCAGAGAGATCAGTATGTACAAAGACCTGAAGTTGAGAGAAAGTATCTAATGCTCATGAAATTGAAAGAAGTTCAGAATAATTGGCATGAAGAGCGCTAGGGTGTCAGTTGTCTAAAATGAGTCTTGAGAAGTAGTTAGGAGAAATTATGGAGAATGTTGGGTTTTAGATTCTCTCCCCAGTTCCATGTGAAGCCATTGGAGTGTTGGCTTCTTTGTGGGGTTTTTTTTTTTTTCAGCTTTATTAAGGTATAATTGACAAATAAAATTGTAAGATATTTAAAGTATACATCATGATGATTTGGTATATACATATACGTGGAAGGATTCCCTCCATCTAGTGAACTAACACATCCAATCACACAAACACACACACACACACACAATTTGGGGAGGGGGGCGAGAACACTTAAGTTCTACTCTTAGCAAATTTCAATTATATAATACAATTTATCAACTATAGTCACCATATTTTACATTAGATTTTTGGACCTTATTCATCTTATAGCTGAAAGTTTGTACACTTTTACCAACCTGTCCCTATTTCCCCTACCTCCCAGCCCCTGACAACTACTTTTCCACTCTGTTTCTATAACTTTGACCTTTTTTTTTTTTTAATTCCACATATAAGTGATACCACGCAATCTTGGTCTTTGTCTGGTTTATTTCACTTAGCATAATGCCCTCAAGGTCCATCCATGTTGTCCAAATGGCAGGACTTCCTTCTCTCTCATGGCTGAATAGTATTATGTTGCACAGACATACCACATCTTCTTTATCCATTTGTCTGTTGATGGACACTTAGGTTGTTTCCATATCTTGGCTGTTGTGAATAATGTACAGTGAACATAGGGGTACAGAGATCTCGTTGAGATTCCGTTTTCATTTCTGTTGGGTAAATACCCAGAAGTGGGATTGCTGGATCATATGGTAGTTCTATTTTTAATTGTTTGAGAAACCTCTATACTTTTTTCCACAGCGGCTGCACCAGTTTACATCATCACCAACAGGGCACGAGGGTTTCCTTTTCTCCACATCCTCACCAATACTTGTTATCTCTTGCCTTTTTGATGATGGACGTTCTGACATTTCCAACAGGGCAGGGACTTAATCCAATAGGCATTCTAGAAAAAAAAAATCATTCTGGGTGCTGGGAGAATAGACTACAAGGAGGCTAAATTGAGTGTGAGAAAGCTACTGATGGGTGCCAGTGAAACACATTTCAACTTGTCCTGACAAGCCTGGGCAAGAATGATAATAGTGAAGATGGGGAGAATTGTAAGGAATCAAGGACCTTTAAAAGGGGCACCTGGCTGGCTCAGTGAGTGGAGCGTGTGACTCTTGATCTCGGGATTGTGAGTTCAAGCCCCACATTGGGTGTAGAGATTACTTAAAAATAAAATTTTTAAAACATAAAAATAAATAAATAAAAGGGCATCAAAGAGGTGTGTGGCTGGCTCGATCAATAAAGCATACAACCCTTGATCTTGGGGTCATGAGTTTGAGCCCCACATTGGGGGTAGAGTTTAAGAGTTTACTTAAGAAAAAAGGGCATCAACAGGACTTAAGGATGAATTAGATGTAGAGGGTGAGGGAGAAGAGGTACCAAGCATAACTTCCTGATTTCTGTCCCAGACAGATTAAATGTCATTTTTTACATTTATATAGAAGGAGGAACAGATTTGGGGAGAAGAAAGATACCGTGTTCATTCTTAGACATGCTACCTTCAAAGTACCCTTGGGCTGCTCAGTGGAGACCTGGAGCTCAGGAGAAAGGTCAAGGCCAGAAACAGATGGGGGAGAGGGTGTCTGCATGAGGACAAGGACAGAAAGTTGAGCATCCATGTTGAGCTCACCAAGGGCAAGTGAAGAATGAGGAGGGGGAGGACAGAACCCTGAGCTGCATCAACACTGGACCCTAAGAGGTAGGAGGAAAAGTAGGAGAGTGTCATGGGACAACGGGGAGGAGGCTTTCAGTCAGAAGGAAGTGGCTGAAAAGTTGAGCGTGGAAAGGAATGAAAATGGCGGTGCTTAAGGCAGTGGGTGATAGGCTTTTCCTCTGGCCCCAGGGGCTGGTTTTGGCCTGGACCTGGGCCACTTCAGGCCAGAGAGACACCAAGAAGATCGGTAAAGAAGATGCCTTACTCTCCAGAGAGTCACCAGGAGAGACTTCTGCTGTCGCTTCTCGTTGTTGTCATTGTCATTTCAGTTACTTGGCTCAAGACACTTTTGGCTTTAGCAATATTGAAATCAATTAATTAATTAAACGAGTACTTATTGGGAGCCTACTGTGTGCCTGCTACTGTTAGAGAAGCTGGGAACACCGTGGAAAACAAGATGGAGGAAGTATCTGTGCCCACAAAACTTGAAGTCTAGTAGGGCAGACAGACATTAAATGAATAGCTACATTTCGGTGTGGTACAGTTATTAATAAGTGTCAGGAAGAAGAATAAAGTAGAAAGGAAAATATGACAGTGGGACTGCTATTTTAGATAGAGTGGGCTGGTCAGGGAGAGCCTCACTGGGGAGGTGATCTTGGAGCCGAAACCTGAAGAGAGGAAGAGAGGCAGACCTGTGAACTTCTAGAAGGTGCTGTCCGATGGAAATGGGGTGCAAGCCAAATGTATAATGTTAAATTTTCTAGAAGCCACATTAAGGAAAATAAAAAAGCAAATATCATTGGTTGCCAGGGGTTATGGGGAAGGGAGGGATGGATAGGCAGAGCACAGAGTGTTTTTAAGGCAGTATTCTGAATGGTGGATAAATGTCATTACACATCTGTCAAAACCTACAGAACGTACAACATTAAAAGTGAACCTTAGTCTAAACTATGTACTTCTGATGATGATGAGGCGTTCGTGGAAGTGTATCAATGGTAACAGATGTACCACTGAGCTCCGGGGCGATGGTGGCAGGGCGGGCTGTGTGTCTACAGGGCAGGAGGTATATGGAAACTCTCCGGACTTGCCATTCCGTTTGGCCGTGAACCTAAATCTGGTCGAAAAAATAAAGTCTATTTTAAAAAAGTAAAGAGCAACAGGTGAAATTAATTTGAATGATATATTTCAAATATTGGCATGTATTCAGTCCTTACAACAATCCCCCACATCTCACATATCCAAAATACTGTCATTTAGAAATGTAATTGACGTACAAAATTAATTAGATATTTTAACATCTCTTTTTGTGAACCAGGTCCTCAAAAAACCCGTGTGCCTTTTACACTCACAGCGCGTCTCAATTTGGAGGGGCCACATGTGGCTGGTAGTGTCCAAATTGGGCGAAGTAGAGGAGGAAGGTTTCAGGCAAAGGAAACAGTACGCGCAAGAGTGCTGAGGCGAGAATAAGTTTTGTGTGTTTAAGGAGCGCCAGCAGGCATGGGAAGGAGCGAGGGGTGAGTGGGCGGAATGCTGGATGAGGCTGGTTGGAGCGAAGGGCAGGAGCTAGACCCTGGGAGGCCTTGGGCACAGCGGTCTGGAATTATTCTGTGTGTGATCAGGTAACCACTGAAGCGCTCTGAGCAGAGAACATCTGAGGTCCCTTTGTGACATGAAATGCAGCGCACATGTTCCTTATCATTATACTGTTTCTAATTATAGGGGAGGCAGCGTGGGGCCTTGGATCCCTCTTCTGCTGCACAAGGAAACCACCTCTCTCTCTCTCCACTTTCACCCTTGCAGACTCGAGGCCCAGAGACAAAGAGCGCCTGCACCAGGATGCACAGCATGTCTTTCCTTGTTACTGGTAATTGGGCGTGAACGGGCTCAGTGGACTTTTGAGGGTAGGAGCCAGGCCGGAGTGCGTTGAGAAGGAGATGGAGAAGTTTGGCAGTGAAAGGAAGGAGAAATGATAGGGTAGTAACTGGAGGGATGTGGAGTTTGTTTGCTTGTTTGTTTTGAAGCAGGAAAAGATCTGGGCATGATTTAAAATTGATCTGAAAGGAGGTGTAGAGAGGGAGAGGCTGGGGAGAAAAGGTTATGATGGTGGGGGGGGGGGGCCGAAGAGGTGGCAGGGACTGGCTGTGGGAGTGGAGGAAGGCTAAGAGGTGAGGGAAGTAGGCCTGGGGACTTGGTGATGGCAGGCTCTGTTCCAGCCTTCCATGGTGCCCATCCCTTTGCCATCCGGGTTCCAGGGACCTGCATGCCGCCTCGGTCCTGCTGCCCACTCTACTCTTTGCTAGTCACTCTCAGATCCCCAGACCAGAGATGATCCTGGCAGGGCTGACACCCACCATCTGCCCCTCCTTCCGCTCTGAGCTCCTGCGCTCTGGCTAGAGACTCCTAGAGCCTGCTTCTCCTTTACTCTCTTCCATTCTCTTGTCTCAGTTCCCGGATGCTGACTCATTCTACCTTCCAAGCGGGGCATGAGTCTCCTGGTTCTGACATCCGAAACTCACACATCTACCATGTGCAAACCCCTCATTGTTTAGGCATGATGCTCCTTGCTTCACAAATAACAGTATATTATATTCAGTCCTTACGACGCTACAAGGTAAGTGCTGTCAGCATCCCTTTTTACAGATGAGGAAATCAGGGCTCAGAATTGAGAAGCATCTTCAGCAAGGTTGCATAGCCAGTTAAGTGCCGGAGGGAAGATCTGTCCCAAGTCTGTGAGCTCTAAAAACGGACCTCATTCTACGATGCCACGTTGTCTTTCAGGTGTCAGAAATAGAGCTGATGCTTTGCAGATCTTATCTCATTTGGGCAATGGGCTGTGAGCATAAGCAGCAGAAAGTGGGGCTCAGTTATGGGGAGATTGGTTCCCAGGGAGAGCCATGGGATATAAGTTCTATGAAGGCAAGGATCTGTGCCTGTTTGATCACTGCTATACCTTCCCCACCTCCACTCCGCCCCTGTCCCCAGAAGAGTATCTGGCACAAAATCATATGCAATAAATATTTACTGAATGAGTGAATGAGTGAATGAATGAATGAATGAACTCTAGCCTCTGAGAGGGCTGGTCCACACCCAATGAGAGACGAAATTAGGCAAGAGTACAAAGCAGTACAAAGCAGGGAGCAAGTGCCTGGAATTGGCCAAGGTACAGCTCGGTTATAGGAAAAAGACAAAGGTCCAGGATTCAACCTCAGGGCTTCTTCCCCAACCCACTTGGAGGGATCTTGTAAATTCAGCCTAAACCAATCAAGACATTGCATTTCTTGGCCACAATAATCAATTCAGAGAAAAACACATAAAGAGCTACTTTATTCTTTATAAACAACTGTATATAATTTCATTATATGGACATATCATAATTAATTTCACTGGTACCCTAATGATGGGTTTTTAGGTGATTTCACATCTTTTGCTATTACAAACAATGCTGCCAGAAGAAGTGTGTATAAATGTCAATTCTCACAGGTATGTCATATCTGAAATACACATTTCTAGAAGTGAAATCCCTGAGTCGAAAGGTGTATGCATTTACACTTCTCATAGATATTGTCAAATTGCCCACCACTGAGGTTGTACCAATGGAAACTCCCTCCTGAAGTGTGTGAGATGATCTGCTTACTGTATTCCGTCCAAAACGGTATCACCGAAATGTTTTATCCTTGCTAGTCTGACAGGTGAAAAATGAAATGCCACTCTAGTGTCAGCTCGCACTTTTTTTTTTAATTTAAATTCAATTAGCCAACATATAATACATCATTAGTTTCAGATGTAGAGTTCACTAATTCATCAGCTGCGTACAACACCCAGTACTCATTACATCACATGCCCTCCTTACTCTCACTGCTCTTAATATGAGTGAGGGTCAGCATGTTTTCATACATCTAAGAGGGTTTTTTAAAAAAATCCTACTTCGGGCGTCTGGGTGGGTCAGTCAGTTGAGCGTCCAACTCTTGGTTTTGGCTCAGGTCCTGATCTCACAAGCCCCATGTCATGCTCAGTGCTCAATGTGGAGTCCGCTTGAGATTCTTTCCCCCTCTGTTCCTTCCCCTGCTCACACACTCTCTCTCTCTCTCTCTCTAAAATAAATAGGGGCACCTAGGCAACTCAGTCGGTTAAGCGTCTGACTTTGGCTCAGGTCATGATCTTGGGGTCCAGGGATCGAGCCCTGTCTCGGGCTCCCCGCTCAGTGGGGAGTCTGCTTCTCCCTCCACCCTCCCCCTCCACTCGTGCGTGCTCTCTCTCTAATAAATAAATGAAATCTTCTTTTAAAAAATTTAAATAAAATCCTACTACTTAAAAAAATTATCTAAAGAAGTAAAAACTTGTCTCTAATCCCAGATTCGAAAAACAATTAGTGTTCAAGTGTTATTATGTACTTCCAGACTTTTCCTTAAATTCATATATATTTATAAAATCTCATTTTAAAAGTAAACATGTGTATCCATATATATGTACACACATACACATGTGTAATATACCTGGACTCTGAAACTTGCATTTTCTTTTTTTTATAGACTTTTTTTTTTTTAAGATTTTATTTATTTATTTGACAGAGCGAGAGAGCATAAGCAGGGGGAACAGTAGAGGGAGAGGGAGAAGCAGGCTCCCCGCCAAGCAGGGAGCCCGATGTGGGGCTCGATCCCAGGACCCTGAGATCATGACCTGAGCCGAAGGCAGACACTTAACCATCTGAGCCACCCAGGTGCCCCTGAAACTTGCATTTTCTTTCTTTTTTTATCTTTTGCCAATTATGTTTTTATTTTAGATGTTTGCATTTTACTTTATTATTTTATTTTTATATTTATATTTATTATTTTTAAGTAGGCTCCATGCCCAACATGGGGCTTGAACTCACCACCCTGAGCTCAAGAGTCACACGCTCTACTGAGCCAGCCAGGTGCCCCATTTATTTTAATTTTTAATTTTTTTATTTTTTTTTAAAGATTTTATTTATTTATTTGACAGAGAGAGAGACAGCGAGAGCAGGAACACAAGCAGGGGGAGTGGGAGAGGGAGAAGCAGGCTTCCCGCCGAGCAGGGAGCCCAATGTGGGGACTCGATCCCAGGACCCTGGGATCATGACCTGAGCCGAAGGCAGACGCTTAACGACTGAGCCACCCAGGCGCCCTATTTTTTTTTTTTTAAAGATTTTATTTATTTATTTGACAGAGAGAGACACAGCGAGAGAGGGAACACAAGCAGGGGGAGTGGAAGAGGGAGAAGCAGGCCTCCTGCTGAGCAGGGAGCCCGATGTGGGGCTCGATCCCAGGACCCTGGGACCATGACCTGAGCCGAAGGCAGATGCTTAACCAACTGAGCCACCCAGGCACCCCCAGGCGCCCTATTTTAATTTTTTAAAAGATTTTATTTTTAAGCAATCTCTACACCTAACAGAGCTCGAACTCACCACCCTGAGATCAAGAGTTGCTTGCTCCACGCACTGAGCCAGCCAGGCACCCCAGATCCTTTTTAAAGACATATTTATTCATTTGAGAGAGAGAGGAAGAGAGCAAGCGCGATTGAGTTGGGGGAGGGTCCGAGGGAGAGAATCCCCCAAGCAGACTCTCTGCTGAGTACAGAGCCCAACTCCAGGTTTGATCTCACGACCCCAAAATCATGACCTGAACCAAAACCAAGAATCAGATGCTCAACCAACTGAGCCACCCAGGTGCCCCAAAGATTTATTTACTTTTGAGAGAAAGAGAGAGAAACAGTGGGGGTAGGAGTAGAGGGAGAGAGAGAATTTCAAGCAGACTCAGTGTTGAGCATGGAGCCCAACTTGCAGCTCAATCTCACGACCCTGAGATCATCACCTGAGCCAAAATCAAGAGTTGGTGGCTTAACTGACTGAGCCACTGAGGTGTCCCTGCATTTTATTTTTAATATAGAACTTTTTCAAAGTCTGTTTCTCATTTCTTTATGGCTGCTTAGTATGACATTTGGGGTATGTAATAATCTATTTCCTCTTAGACATTTTGATTATTTTCAATTTGTTAAATCCCAACCATGCTGCAACAAGTATTCTTCTACGTGCATTTTTATTTACACGTGCTATTATTTCTTTAGGCTTTATTCCTCAAAGTGGTCTTTGGCTGCTTTCGATGGTAAACTGATCAGAAGCTAAGTAGGTTGATCTGGGATGGGAAAGGCTTCCGTGTAACTCTCTCACCTGCTGTCTTCAGCACATAGAAGAGGTCCACTTTCGAATTTGTTCCTGTTTGTATCACAAATAGCTGGGTATGGGGGTGCCTGGGTGGCTCAGTCGTTAAGCGTCTGCCTTCGGCTCAGGTCATGGTCCCGGGGTCCTGGGATCGAGCCCCGCATCGGGCTCCCTGCTCAGCGGGAAGCCTGCTTCTCCCTCTCTCACTCCCCCTGCTTGTGTTCCCTGTCTCGCTGTGTCTCTGTCAAATAAATAAATAAAATCTTTTAAAAATTTAATAAAAAAATAAAAAACAAATAGCTGGGTATGGACTACAATTCATCAGTGGCAAAGGATTGCTGAGTGGCTGCTGCCTTCCATGTAAGGAATGAGGGTTAGAACAACAGAGAAAGGCCCCTGCCTTCCAACTCACAGTCTAATAGAGAAGCAGGATATAGAAAGAGAAATAACAATCCAAGTGATACAAAGAGTAATCGCCCCCCTCCAGACTTGCTTCTCCGATGTCCTGAAGCATTTACTCTCTAGGGTGAAGAGACTATAACCGATGGTTGGCTGGCTTTATGTGTTTGCTCCTTGGACTATAAGGAGAGAATGGCTCCAGATATGTAAGCAAGAGATGATCTAAATTACTCCATCAGGCTGGAAGCCCCGGAGTCTCTAGCTCCTTGCCAACACACCTTCATTTGGTAAACATTTACCCATCTCTATTCCCTGTCAGATGTCAGGGAGGCAGTGGGACCCTGGCATTCTAGTACTCACTAATACGTGTTGATTTGGAAGGCACTGGGTGGCAAAAGAGAAAATATTACATACAATGCTTGGCCTAGAAAAACTTAGGCTGAAAGCTGGTATATTTTGTTTACTCCATATTCTGTTGTTGCTGTTGAACTTAAAGTAGTTTATTGAGGTACAGTTTACATGCAACATCATGCACACATTTTAAGAGAATGGTTAGGTAAGTTTTGAGAACTGTATTCACTTATGTAACCACCACCACAAACAAAGCCTATAGAACATGTCCCTCAACCCCAAAGTTTCCCTCATGCTATTTAACTTTAAAAAAACTCTTGTTTTGTTTTTAAGTTTATTCATTTATTTCAGTATTCTCTATACCCAATGTGGGGCTCAAACTCATGATCCTGAGATCAAGAGTCACGTGTTCCTCTGACTGAGCCAGCCAGACACCCCAAAACCTTTTATTTTGAAATAATTACAGATTCACAGGAAGTTGCAAAGATAGTGCATTAGAGTGCCATGTACCCTTCACTCAGTTTCCCCCACTGGCTACATCTTACGTAATTGTACAGTATCAGGAACAGAAATATACACTTGTACAATGTGAATAGTTAATGTGAATAAATAACTCTTTGTCATTTTTTTAAAAGATTTATTTATTTTTATTTTTTATTTTATTTTATTTTTTTTAAGATTTTATTTATTTATTTGACAGAGAGAGAATGAGAGAGAGAGAGAGAGCACATGAGAGGGGGGAGGGTCAGAGGGAGAAGCAGACTCCCTGCCGAGCAGGGAGCCTGATGCGGGACTCGATCCAGGGACTCCAGGATCATGACCTGAGCCGAAGGCAGTCGCTTAACCAACTGAGCCACCCAGGCGCCCCAAAGATTTATTTATTTTAGAGAGAGAGAGCGTGCACACAAGTGGGGGAGGAGCATAGGGAAAGGGAAAGACTCTCAAGCAGACTCCCCGCTCAGTGTGGAGCTTGACGCAGGGCTCGATCTCAAGACCTGAGCTGAAATCACGAGTCAGACGCTTAACCGACTGAGCCACCTGGGCACCCCAATAGCTCTGTGTTATTCTGTCACTTTTAGATTCATGTAACCACCACTGCAATCAAGATACAGAAGTGTTCCATCATCCCAGGGATCTCCCTAGTGGGGTCCCTTTATAATCACGTTCCTGCCTACCCCACCATCCCTAACCTCTGGCAACTGGTAACCTCTTTTCCATCCCTCAGTTTTGTTTTTCCAGGAATGTTACATAAATGGAATTATACAGTGTGTGACCTTTTGAGATGGCTTTTTTCCCTCAGCCCTTGAGATCCATCTAAGTTGTTGCTGTATCGAGTTTGGTCCTTGTCAGGGATGAGTAGTATTCCATGGTATATTTAAATTAGCACAAAGTTGGTGGCTTATAACAACAGAAATTTGTCCTGTCCTCCCTGGAGGCCATAAGTCCTAAACCAGGGTGTCAGTGGGGCCGTGCTCCCTGCAAAGACTTGAAAGGAGAATCCTCCCTTGCCTCCTCCAGCTTCTTTTGGTTTCCCCCATTCCTTGGCTTGTGGCTGCATACACCCATGTCCATCTCTATCTTAACATGGCCTTCACCAATATGTCTGTGTCTTCTCTTCTATCTCTTACCCGGACACCTGTCATTGGATTTAGGGCCCACTGAGAAAATCCAGGATGATCTTATCTCAAGATCCTTAACTTAATCCAGGGTTTTTAGCTCTACTTAGCAGGAGGAATAAGGAAAATATGTCTGTTCCATCTTTTTCCAGAAGTGGAAGTTGCTCTACATCTTTTAAAAACATTAAGACTCACATTTAAAAACCACACATTTCTCATAAAAAATGTAGACTTCTCATTTCTCATGAACCATTGGAGAAGTCATCCTGGCCTGCATTTCTGCTTGGTAACACTTGGCTGGAGCTGGGCATCCACTGCCACCATGGATGGCTATGATGTGCTTGCTATCGTCCTGCCCTCTCCCAGTGAATGAATGTATGTATATTTATAAAAGCCTTGTGTCACTAGCTCTCATAGTATGGTAGGAGTCTGAACTTGCGGCCTCCGTATAAGAACTTGTGCTTGAGCTCCAGGAAGTGTTGGCCACAGCAAAGATGGGATGTGACACCAGAAAAGGAGCCACTGGTGGGATCCTTAAAGGATTCTGCTTTATCATCGTGGAAATTTCTCTCTCTCCCAGCACAAAACAAAACTCTGCTCTAGCACAGACTGTTCTAAGCAGTTACAGTAAAAACAAAACAAAACAAAAAACCCCCACAAAAACCTCCTCTCTCATCTCAGGAAACAGCTAGCTCATCCCTCCTCTTGAGAACCCCTAATCATGACACGTCCCAGAGTTAAGCTCCCAGCCTATTCTTGTGGAAGCATGACAGAGTGAGCCAGTTGGCCCAGAGAAACACATAAGTCAGCAAAAGCCTCGGATTCTTGGTGGCTGCGAAGTGAAGCCCCGAGGGGAGGCAGCTTTGTGTTCTGAAACAGCAAAGAATGTTGTGTTGGAAGCTCTGGCCAGACTGATGACCCCGGCCACGTGGGAGTGTTCGGAGAACCAAGGAGAGGCCTAACCATGGTCCATTTCTCATCACAGGTTCCAGCAAGTGGTTCTATTAGCCTGGTCAGCCGTCAGCATGGCTGGTTCGGGGGGCTGGGCAGAGTCATGCTCAGGGAAGATGTTTTCAAATTGTTGAGTTCACCGACTCCTTTCGGAGACATGAGACCTCGTGAGCTGCCTAGTCTCTTCACTCCAGTGCACTCTGGCTCCTTCCTGCGAGGGAAATGTCAAGAGGAAGCCATCGATCTTCTGTTCCTGAATCCTCACCCCTCCTTGTCCCCAGAGCATCACCCCTGGCCTTCTCTGTGCAGGACCAGCCACCGCTGCTTCAGGACAGAGCTGAGAAATGAGAGCAACCTCTTTGCTCTGTTTGGATGAAGCAAAGCCCAACCACTGACAGAGGGCAGGAGCTTCCTGAGGGACCCTGGATTTCCTTATGTGCTCAGTCTTTGGGAGATCAAACACAAAACAATTTGGGTCGTCAGCAAGGGTGCCAGCTCAATACATCCTGAGGGTGTGTTTGGCCAGAGCCATGTGCTTGGCCCTCTGTGCCATGAGGAAACAGAAGTGCTGGTGCCAACCAGGAGGAAACTCGCCTCAAAGAGACCCTTCGAGAGGGCTGGCCATATATAATATAATAGTGTTAATACTGAACAAGAGGAGAAGGAGGAGAAAAAGTCCAGGCTGCCCAGGGTTGCTGTGGTCTCCAGCCAGGGCTGGCAGATAAGGGCCTCTAAATGACACACAGATTAATAATAAGTCACCGTGGCCTGGGTCATTTCTGCTCAGATCTCTATGATCTGCAAATGACAGAGCCACTGTCACTTTGAACGCTCCCTGGAATCGACTGCGTCCTCCTAGTGCCGAGGCTGGAGAGTGGGGCAGGAGAGAGGACACCATTTTGACTGACTCCAGGCAGGGACCTCAGGGCCACCCTCTTAGGAGGGCAGGGACTTTGCCTCCAGGCGTGCCTCCCTTTCATCCCCTCCTCTGCTTTCTTACCATCACTACTCTAGGCGAGTCTGGGCCCTTGCATTCGTCTCCACCACTCTCCCTGCTTCCTCCAAGCCATCGATGGCAGGACAACACGTGCCTCCTAAAAACACAGATCAAGCCTTCCTTGCTCTCCCCAACCGTCCCTCTGAGAGGCCACGTGGCCAATCTTCCGAAGCTCCGATCATGTCACTCCTTTGCTCCTAAACCTATAGGGACTCCCCAGTGCTGGCAGTAAACTCTTGCGCTTACGTTCATAGCTCATCTTGATGTAGGAAAGACGTTAGGGTTCAAAGCAGAGTCAAGAAAGAATTCTTGAGGCGTCTTCGGTGCAAAGGGCGGTTTTATTAAAGCACAGGGACAGGACCCATGGGCAGAAAGAGGTGCACTGGGATTGTGAGGAGTGACTGATTATGTCCTTTCAAGTTGGGAAGGGGTTAGGGATTTTGGAAGCAACATTTCCAGGACCTTGAGGGGCTAGTTTCTGTTAGGAAAATGTCATTTACCACCATCTAGTAAAACCTGAGTCATGAGACCCTTCAGATGTGTATTGGTGGGTCATAGGCTTGAGGGATGATTGCCAACATGCATCTTGGGGGGTAGAGATAAAGGAAGTTTCCAAAAGAATTTTTATACGTGAAAGTAGACTTACAGGATCCTGGGGGTTGGGCTAAGATTGCCCTTTGACCTTAGCAAAGTATTAACATCGAGGCAGTTGAGTCCCTAGAGGAATGTCACTCTGCCTGTTTCAAGGACTTGTCAATGGGCTGTAGATAGTAAGGAAATTTAATAATTTTTCTTCTGCCTGTCTTCCCCACATCAATCTCATCTATTTAGTCAGGTCTCCCCCTTGGCTATTTCACATCTGCTCCCCCTTGGCTACTCTGCATTTGGGCCCCATGGTTCTTGAACATTCTTTGGTTGCACCAGAATGCTACACATAAGCCTCTTCACAATGAGGACCTCTGCTTCAGGAGGAACTGAGGGACCCACTAATAATTCCTTCTCCCCTTCTGCTTGAAAACCATTGCTTGAACCAAGTAGTTCTGAGCACAGCTTCTCTCAAATACCTCTAGGCTTTTGCTCGAGTACCCTCTGTCTGGAATGTGAGGCCCATCTCCACGTCCAATCCTGTCAGTCCTTTGAGGCTCAACAAGAGTGCCACAAAGCCTCCAGCCCATCCCTGTTCCCCTACGCCCCAACATCCACTCTCCTACCAGCAAGGCTTTCTCTCTTCCCCGGGTTCACACAGGATGTGAATATGCCTCATGGAACAGGGCAAGTACTTTCTACCACAAACTGATTTTGTGTGTCCATATTTCGTCTCGCACTGTCCTGTGAGCTCCATGAGGGGCGGGGCCATATTCTATCACCATTGACTCTTCCACAAGGCCCAACAGAGTATCTTGTACTTGGGGTTTTTTTTTAAATTTTTTTTTTTTAAGATTTTATTCAGTTATTTGACAGAGAGAGAGTGAGCGAGCACAAGCAGGAGGAGCTGCAGGCAGAGGGAGAAGCAGGCTCCCCACTGAGCAGGGAGCCTGATTCGGGGCTCGATCCCAGGACCCCAGGATCATGACCTGAGCCAAAGGCAGACACTTAACCATCTGAGCCATCCAGGCGCCCCTCTTGTACTTGGTTTCATATCTCATGCCATGCCTTGAATAAAAATCATGTTAGGTAAACGAAAGTAGGTTGGCCAGTTCCTTCTTTATTCTTATGGGTAAAAAACTTTTTTCTTTTTTTTTAATATTTTATTTTATAGTCCTTTTTTAAAGATTTTATTTATTTATTTGAGAGAGAAAGAATGAGACAGAGAGCGAGCATGAGAGGGGGAGGGTCAGAGAGAGAGGCAGACTCCCTGCCGAGCAGGGAGCCCGATGCGGGACTCGATCCCGGGACTCCAGGATCATGACCTGAGCCGAAGGCAGTCACCCAACCAACTGAGCCACCCAGGCGCCCTGGGTAAAAAACTTCTAACCCTTCATTTTCCAAACTTGGTACTGGGTACTAGGACACCAGGCCAATGAGATGCTCATCAGTAAATAATGTTCTTGCAATAAATACAGTTGGGTAACATCATATAGCCTATCCTTTTCT